ATTTCTATCTTGTATTTTTCCACTGTCTCCCATTCAGGTGGATTGTAAACTCGTGATGCCAATTTTTACCTTCTTCCACCACCAGTTCCTCATGAGCTGATGATACTCATTATATGTAAAACATAGACTAGTGGAGATGTTTTCTTATTTAATGATTAACATCTCACATACTAATATTTACATAACTCAACAAATATATGTTGAATATGTTAGTGAATGGTTCTTTCACCCAGTTTTGGAGGTGAAACTAATAATGTTTTTTTTTTGTTTCATTTCAATTATGGTTTTATGAATGTTGAAATCTTTCTCTTTACTCTTGGAATACAGTGCTGTCAATATAATTTATCAGACATTATATCCAAGATGAATTACATTCAATGAAAATATTTTGAAAATGCAAACTCTCATGCACAACATCCCTGAAACAACAACATAATTGATAGAATCAGTGAAAATACATCAAGCTTTTCATGAGTCAATTCCACTAAAATTCTTCACTTTCTTCTTACATTCAGGTAACAAGGCAGTCATAACTAAATGTATTCTATGTAATTCATCATTCCCATAAAAAAAGTAAGGAGTTGAGGATTGTTTTACTTATTTGTGAGAAAATTCATCCTAAAAATTTATTTTGTAAACATTTGATAAGCTACAGGAAAAGAAAAAAATATGAATATACTCACTCTCTCTGATTAACTTTTTGCATGTGTTCACCATCTCCCAAGACAGTTTGTAAAAGAAAAGCTTACTGAAGTAAATTTTGGTTGGAGATATTACTGTGGGGATACAGCTAATCAATCACTTTCTAAATCTGACCTACTAAGGATACAAGTTTGTGCAGGGTACAAAATCAGGTTAAGAAAGCTGGGAATGTTGCTGAATGAAGAAGAACAATGTAGTAAAAGAAGGGTAAAAGGAACAGTTAGATCAACACTACCTGTGCTTGGAGTGGGGTATCTCTGACATCTGTGTCACCCACCTTAGTGTCTCCAGATCCCTATAGTCTTCAAAGATGACAATGGACAGGTCTTTAAAGTATTTCAAAAGACCAATAGAATTGTACATGAGTACTTTGACATATTGCTATGAAATGACCAGCTTGGCTGTTCTGAATCAAAGCTATGTACTGAAATGAAAATCAAATTAATTATTTATTATATAAAAGCAGAATACACAGGGAAAATTAATTAAAAATATTCATGGACTGGATAAAGTTGGGAAACATATGTAAGTATGCTTTATCTCAGCTAATACCCTTGAAATTCAGCAAATTGATACTTTTGATTTAGTGTTCAATTATTAACGTTTACAATGAGTTAGGCTTTATAGACATTGTCTCCTTGGATTCTAGATGATCCTATCATCCCCAAGTTACAGATGAAAAACAGCAACTAACAGAACTCAAAATCATACTTAAGAAACTGAGAACTAGAACTCAACATCCACCTCTCACCACAGACATCTTGATGTAGAAGTCATTCTTTTCACTGAAGTCCAGAGAATTCGGGTAAGGAGAAAGAGAACTCCAGGAAGAGCCCTGAGTGGAGGGTATAGAAGAGAGACAGAGGGAAGAGTTGAAGAGTGAAAGAGACTGAGGACCATGAATCTTGCTTCACACAGGTCCTACTAGAAATGTCACATGGCTACCGAAATAGCAAAGCCACTTTTTTTCTATAAATCTAGCCCTGTCATTTTGACACAGATCCCTTAGGAAGACAGGGTTCTTGCCACAGATTGAAATTGCTTACTTCTTATCCAAAGGAATTTTCCAGGTGGTCCCCATTGAACTCCAAGATGGGTGATTTAAGCCATGAAACTGGCTGTCCACTCACAGCCAGAGAGATGCCCACAACTGGGGATCCTCTTAAATATACAATATTTATATATTTAATATACAATTATATATTTAATATATAAATGCCATCGTTTGTAAGACACATCCTGACTTCACAGACACCAAAATGTCACAAAGGAGTCACGATAGAATGGATGAAACGTAGTGCGTGCATGCTGAGTTGTGGTGTAAAATGGGTGGGCTGCAGTTAATGTTCAAAACTTGGGTAAATTACATTCCAAAGTGAGGACCAAGAAGCAATTTTTCCAGACATCTAAAGACTGAGGGTTTAAAACACAGAGGGTCTCCCTAAAATAACTATTAAAATATTATTATAGAAAATGTCACACAAATGCAAAAAGAGAATACTATGATAAACCCTCATGAATCCATCACCCACCTTCAACAACTATCAACCCACACGGTCAATTTGGTTTGACCCATATCCTGACCTACCCCTCCGCCAAGATTATTGTCAAGCAAATCCCAGACACGGTCATTTCATCTGTAAATACTGGGCACACAACACGTGCCCTCCGTTGTAATCATAGTAACCCACTTGGCCCAGCAATGAATAACACCTCCAGCCTTTCTCACGGCAACAGTGGACACGGATTTAGCTCTGCTGGGAGCTGGGGAGGAGAAAGGGAGGTGCGGGAAAGCTGAAATTCTCATCCCCCAGAAGGAGATGCCAAGAGGCAAAGTCCACACTGGAGGAATCGAGAGGCCACATTTAAGCACGTGTTATGGAGGAGCCCGGGCGTCACGGCTCCCTCTCTTGGCTCACCATGTTCCCACTGGGGGGTGGGGTAGGGCCAGGTCTATCCATCCGGGTACCTCCTGGGCAGAGCAGCTCTTCTCCAGAATGTCGAAAGGTGGAATGGGGTGAACGGGGGCCCCACAAGGATGTGTCTGTGCGCAAATCGCAGGATCCTGTGAACATGAGTTTATTTGGGAAAGGGGTCTTTGTAGGTGTAACTAAGTGAAGCGTCTTGAGGTGAGACCATCCCGGATGACCTAGGTGGGCCAGTGACAAGTGTCCTCATAAGAGACAGAAGATAAGACACAGGGTGGGGCCACGTGAAGACAGAGGCAGAGACGGGAGACCCGGCTCACAGCCCAGGAGGCCAACAAGCACTGAAAGCGGGAAGAGGCGAAGGATGGATCCTCCATGCCAGCCTCCCGAAGGAACCGGCCCTGCTCCTCCCTGCACTGGGTGTGCCCTCGGCGTGTGCCAGGTGGAGGGGGTGCACGCAGTGCTGGCCTCAAACAACAGGACTCCAAAAGGTGCCCCACTGAGTCAAGGACACGCGGTCGCAAAACCACTGGCTACTTCCTCCTCACCGAGGAGTTAAGCTAAGGAAATGTCAGAAACAGAAGCCTCTGAGCTATTTGGGAATGCACTCGATGACATGTGGGTGGTTAGGACAGCAGCCACAGCACCCGGACGCCCACCTCGCTATCCACCTGCCGGAGATACAGGGGAGACGCGCTCCTCCCCAGACCCTGGGGAGCCCATCCCCATGAGCAGAGGACTTAGCCAGCAAAAGAGCAAAGAAAACCCCAAACCCACAATTACCTTAAAGTGTGTGATGTGAGACTTGAAAAGAGAAACTTAAGGGCAGCAATTATGAGGCTAAAGGAGGCTCGACAGAGTTCTAGCGGTGGGAAGGGTCCAGAGAGTCTTCGGTGTGGCCACACCTGGCCTGCGAATGACCCATCCCCGCCGACTGCGGGAAAGCCCTGGGACACTGCGCGTGGGGCGAGCAGACCCGGGAGGCGCGGCTGAGAGTGCGCCTAGCACAGCAGAGCTACTGCAACACCGGCCTGTGCTCTCTGGGTCGTTCTGAGCTGACCTTTTGTTAAAGGCGTAAACGGAACCACCGAATGAAGTTTTAATCAAACACCTGCAACTTAAAGAGTCAATGATGACCTGCTTCCAGAAGCTTCAGGCTACCCAAGGCTTGCCCAGCTTTGGTCAGGCAAACGGACTGGTGGGTGAAAAAGCAGGGAAGCGCTATGTGGTTTTGAGTCTCATGCTTAAGTGAACCCAAGAACGAGGAAATGCCGAGAAAAGGCTGCCCCCAACAAAACTGGAAAACCAGCCAGCACAGGCTCTCAAGAGAACACCAAACCACCGGATCGCTGTGCCCTGACGGACACCAGCTGGAATCTATTCACCCGAATAAAGAAAACACGTCACTCAGGAGAGGCTGCCGTCAGCCCTGGAAGGACAGCAGAACAGGAAAAGGAAAACCGAGGCGACAGTCAGCAGCGCCCACCCAACACAGCGCGAGGCATGGGGTCGGCCTGGGCATCGTGCACCCCCAGACCTGATGACAATACTGCGGTTGGGGGAGGGCGGGCGACAGCACGTAGGGGCTGAGGCATCGGGTGCCCTGGGCCTGGCGCTGCCAGCCACGAGCGCCGCGCCTTGCCGCCCTGCAGCCGGGCGCGTCCTGCCTGCCTGCCCGGGCCCGTCGGCGCGTCCCTCCTCTCTCGCGCCAGACTGCTTCATGACTCAGGACTCCGTCTGAGCGCTCCGAGACCAGGCTCCCTGGGAACCGGAAGGACACAGCCCAGGGCGGGAGCAGCAGGAGAGCAGGGCCCCAGTGCGCGCATGGACTGACGCGCCTCCGCGCCTCCCTGTGGCCTGCGGTGCCTCTGAGCGCCAGGCTGCCCGGGCCTGGTCCCCCAGGTCTCAGCGAGAGAGGGTCTGGGCCTGGGGGGCCGAGGCGGGAAGCCCCTGGGCTTCCTGGCGGGGACACCCCCATCCTGTGCTTCCATCCCCAGCTTTTTCATTGTCAACTGATTTCTACCCAAGAAAGTCCACTCGACGACGCTGCCGCCACTGAATCAGCCTGGAGCCGGAGATGAGCCAGCTGCGGCCGATTTGTCACAGAATGACAGCTTATTCTCAGTATCCTTTATTGGCAGTGGAAAACGCCTCAGTACTTTATTGAAAGAAAGCAATAAATAATACTGTGATAAAAATAGTTCAAAAGGAGACTGTACATACTTTGTTACATAATCAGGAGGTTCACAAAAGATTAACAGAAAACAGAATGTAACAACGAATCTTACAAGGAAGTTAAAAGCAGAAACCGAATGTAAACCGTCCACCGACAAAATGAGCTGTATAATAAATAACGCACCGTGGTCGGAACACATTTCCTGCTGGCTCTTTAATGTGCCATTTAAAAAGGAAAAGTTACATCTGCTACTTAGACAGTCCAAAACGGCTATATCGTCAAAAGCTAAAAATGTACCACTAGGTCCCTCCTTTCAACATGTTTACAAACAAATGTAAAAAGATGATTTACATAAGAAAAAATAAGGCCTTTAGTAGAGTCGCACTGCGTGGTTTCCTGGTTTCAGGGAGCCCGCGCCTTCCTCTTCCGGCACCGGCGTCCCTGCGGAGCGCGGTGCTTCCTGCTTGGTCCTCAAAGAGCAGCGGGGTGGGGGCCCGCGTCCACACGTCGGGGCAGAGCCGGGAGAGCCCCCCAGCCCTTCCTGCGGCCAAGAGAAGTGCTCCTGGCTGGGGCTCGTGCCGGGCGCTGAGGACAAGCCGTGCGGGTCCCCAGAGACGAGCTCTGCAAGCTACTGAGAGCCACCAGAGATGCTCACAGTTCTGACGGCCCCTTCAGCCCAAATTTTATCAGAAGCTCATATTTAACACCAGGTACTTTCACTCTGTTCACGCTGTAGAATAAAGCATTTCTTGCTAGAAAAAGTAGAGTAAGGTCAGTCATTAAAACGCAATTGCTTGAAATTAAGTCTGCTTGTTTCAAAATGATTGTTGTAGAGCTGGTTACATTTGTCAGGATAACGCGCACCATGTCATGATGATCTTACAAATGCAAACGCAGTAAAATCCTCTTCTCTCTCGCCGATTATTATTAAAAAATTAATGATAATTACAATAAATGCATAATTTACAAAAGCCCTGTATCTTTTCATAGGATTTATACATACAAGCATTACAGTAAATTCGTTTGAAAGACTAAAATTAGATATAAGAACAGAATCGATTTGAAAGGATATTTATAGCCTGGATATATATGAAAAAGTAAGTAACTATATAAATGAAGTCATATGTTTACATAAATATAAGAAACATTAAATTCTAAAATATTTTCTCTATGGTATTCGTGAATTTTTCACTAATTAAAAACTCTGTAATAAAATATCTTAGGGTCCATATAACAAGTATCAACAGATTGCAGATCCACTGAATTCTGAAAGGCCGTCTTCGCCGGGTCCCGAGCGCTGCACGGTCATCTGTAGAAGTAGTGTGGGTAAACTGGAAAGGAAGCACAAACAGGACAATCAGCCTCAGGACGGGCCGCCCGGTGCACACCTGTGTCCTGAGGCCCAGCCCTGCCTCCCTGCCCCTTGCGCTGTAGCTGCTTGAGAACTGAGATGAAACGTCAAGGAGTACGCGTATCAATGAGAAAATTCCTTGCTGACTTCCTTTTGGCGTATGTCTAAAAGTTACCAATTAAAAAGATTAGGAAACCAATCAAACCTTCTGGCGGAGACGTGACAAGTGGAGAGCGGAACAGAGCCCCCGGCCCTGGTGCCACGAGCAGGGGCTGGGCTCCCAGGCCCACGTCACCCCTTCAGCGCGAGCAGGCTGCTCGTAACTGCACCCCTGAGATGGCAACGCAGCTGTGTGTTTAAAACCACCCGCCAGGCCCTCAGGGTCGCACGACAGCGTGGCTCCATGAAACCTGGCCGTGCGGGGTGCGGTTCATTCAAGAACGTGTATTTCTAAGAAAGCCAGCGGGCGCCGTTGACCTGGGAGCGACACCAGCGCGGATGCCAGGGTCAAGGAGGAGAGCCGCCGTGCCGGGCGCTCTCAACCACGGGTGGCCACCAGCCAAGAGCTGAGCCGGTGAGCTCCTGCCACGTGCTGCTCTCCTGCCTCCCCACCCCCAAAAGACATTAGCAGATACTGAAAAGAGTCCAGCACGTTCAGTTTTAAGGAAAAAATGCAAATACACTTTTTTCCTTAACAAATGAGGATACACGAACCCCTCTGTGACCAACTGTGAGCATACAGAACACCAGAACCACGTAACGGGTGCAGCCGGGCTTGCGTGCGTGTTCCTAAAGGCCTGGAGGAACGGAAACGGGCTCTCCGGGCCAGGCAGCGTCCCCGTGCGGTCACCCGGCCGCCTCTGCGGCCTCCGGGCACGCGGAGCCCTCTACTCACCACGGGGCTTCAGCAGGAGTAAGTCCTGACTGTGGCGGCGTCCAGCCTCTGCGCTCCCAACACGCTGCCTGCTCCGACACCAGGGAGGAAGCATGCAAACACAGCGTGCGGTTAGTCTTCAGACGTCACACGGGGCACACGTATACACACATCTGCACACCTACAACACCACCTACTGAGGGCTCCCCGGGAAACTTCTAGATGGGAGCGGACGAGCCAGGGAAAGAGAACCTAAGTGTCACCAGGAGGGGTTTCTCTTCAGCCCCCAGCAGCCCTGGGAGCCACTGGCAGTTAATCTCACGACAGCAAGGACGCCTCAGATGGTACAGACTTCGTGATGTCCTCTGTGTAAGTGACAACTACTTCAGCTGGTAACTTTGTTTCTCCTGAAACTCTCTAGAATTGCAGAGCAACTAGACTTTTCTTCGGGGCCTAAACGTGATATCCCCAAGGCCGGTGTGAGGTAGATAACCCGGGGCAGCGCTAGACACCACGGGGTGCAGGTGACGGGAGTCATATGCAGGCCTGGCCTGAGGGAGACGCGCCCTCGGGCCACCTGCCCTCCACGACCGTCTGAGGGAGCGTCCAGGGCATTCCTCCCCAGGGCCGGGCTGCAGGGGGTGGGTAGAGGACAATGACTCATCTAAGAACACTAAAACCCAGTCTCAGTTTCTGCCGGAAGTGATGTGTACCACTGATGCCTTGTTCCTGTCGAGAAACACACGGCACGGCCCAAGAGGTGAGCCCGGCCTCTCCCTTGCAACCTGGACAGGAAACGTGCAAAAACCTGGAGCAGATATTCCCGACTGCCAATTACACAGTTTGTGTTCCCACGGGTCCAGCAGGAACACGTTTTATCAAGAATGTGCCGTGGTTCCAGAAGAGACGGCACGACAGCCGGCACTGTCGGTGAGCATGGGTCATCTTTCCAAATCCTGACCCTAAGGTCCCAAGAGGCCAGCTGCAACTTCCCCGACGCCCCTTATTTAAGAAGGCATTGAGCAGCCCACTCTCCCGGGGTTAGGCCTCAGTTTTCCTACAAGGGTCAACAGCCGTCTTCCATGTAATATATTCCCTACACCTCTCTCTAGGCTTCTTTTTAATTTATCTGAACTCTAATCTCAATGTCGCCGTCAATACTTAACACGGGAAGTGTGACTGAGTCTGAGGAAACTGGGCACGAAGCTGTGAAGAAGATCAGAAGGCGCTCCGTCAGCCTATTCAATAAGCGGAGGGCCGAGTTACCGTTAGATTTATACAAATTACCGCGCTCCAGTGACGACCTGCCCAGGCTCACCTTCTTCCTCCTCTCCGTCCTTATGGTGCGCAGTGACAGGGACCAACGCCAGCAGGGGTGGAGGGAGGAAAGGGAAGGCTCACAGAGGGGGAAACTGTGTTCTCTAAGATGGACTCAGTCACCTCTCCAGGTGGAGAGACGTCCCGGGAGCACCCGGCGTGGCCCGAGAGCTGCTGCACCACCTTCCGGCGGAGCCTTCCAGGGCTGCCTGCCACACACACAGGCTACAGGACGTCCACTCAGCACGCCGAGAACACACGCGACGCTCAGCTTTATTAGTTGGAAGGATATGCTAAGATTCAACCAGACAAGACTCTAAAAAACCTACATTATTGTTAAACTGTTATGCACAGATGTTAGGATTCATTTTAAAACACTTAACCTGGGCATGCACCAGTACTCAATGCCTTGTAACACAATCAAGAGGCCATTCTGGATCACGGTTAACATTCCAGCCACAAAGCTGCTCTTGCCGCCCACAGCGGCTGGCCGCCCCTGCACACCTACCGTCCAGCTGCGTCTTCTTCGGCTGCATGGAGGGTGAGGACAGAGAGGAGGTGACCCGGAAGTTGGCGGGGAGAGTCTCTGCGGACCCAGCAGCTAAGCCACGAACATCCTTTGGTCTAAATTTTTTTCTCCAAGAAGGTGCTCTCCTAAAGCTTTTATCATCGTCCTGGGAAATTAAAGGACAGAAAACAAGACTGATTTTAAAATAAAGGACAAAAATAGACAGTCAAGTTACCAGCCTTGAACCTGACTGCTGAACTCGTCACTGCAAGTTTGTTCACACCTATTTAACCCGTTCCTGATAACCACAGGATCTACTGTCCCCACCGGGAACTTCTGAGAGTGACGGGCCCAGTAACACTATGTGGGGCCCTCACTGGGCATTGATGAGGACGGCCCTGGGCCGGCCAGGTGCATGTGCCTCCTGTTCATCACCCTGTTTCCTTTCTTATCTTGGAGAAATCATCTTCTTGCCGTATAAGATAATACATTTCTATTTGTCTTAAAATAGTTTCCAAGCTGTAAGCAGTTCTGCCTTAGAGCCGGGGAAGAGCCAGCAAGCGCTCCTTTAGCTGTCCTCCTAGTCACCAGGCAAACTCACGTTTTCTTAAGGGGCAACGAAGGAAAGAATAAAAACAGTGTGGGAACAAACGAGTCACGACTGTGTGAGGGGAAATTAACATGTTGCGTTTCTCTAATCTCCTTCTAACAGGTTTCTCCAAAGCACAGGGACTCTGGATTGGGGTCAGACATCCAGCGGTCCCCAAACATAGCCCATGGACGCCATGCCTTGGCTGCCACCAATGTTGATGGGAACAACATTTTTGAGGGCTATCAAAACTTCAATAGCAAATATTTTAAAAACAGAAAACCTCAGACTGAAAATACGAGTTTCTTACTATCTCATTTGTTAACACATTTTTGAGAGCAAAGCTTAGCTCAGGAGGTAAAATCATCCCCACCCTTAGAAGAGAGACTGCCGATGGGGCTCACGTGCGTATAAACAAATAATTCACACTGAATGCAAATTTAAATAAAATTCATTAGGCTGAAAACTCACTTCATCAAACCTTCTGTCCGTCCCCATGACCAAAAGGTTGTTAAATTCTCTTTCCAAGACAGCGCGAGCCTGAAATCATAACAAAACAACAATACCGCAAAGCTTCATCAATCTAATCTGAAGGACGTTAGCATATCACAACTGTTTTTCAAATCAAGACTTTTAAAAAGCTCAGGCTATAAACACCTTGAGCCATGACAGCATTTAATTTAATTGAATTAATTAATTTGAGGAAGATTAGCGCTGAGCTAACACCAGCTGCCAATCCTCCTCTTTTTTGCTGAGGAAGACTGGCCCTGAGCTAGAATCCATGCCCATCTTCCTCTATTTTATATGTGGGACGCTGCCACAGCATGGCTTGCCAAGTGGTTCCACGTCTGCACCCGGGATCCGAACCGGCGAACCCCGGGCTGCCGAGAAGCAGAACGTGGGCACTTAAGCGCTGCAACACCGGGCTGGCCCCCACAACCACATTTTAAATTAGGGGATTCCTGCGGAGCCCATGGATGGGCTTTCAGGGAAAGGGACCCATGACCGCTGGCAGACTATCTACGAAAGTGTGCTCTGTGGGTTGGTGCTGGTGGGGGGACGGGGGGTATTGGCAAAAGACATACAATCTTCTGTAGAAGAAGAATAAATTTCCTGATTCTCAGGTGAGCCCGTGTGTCAAAAAGAATCACACAGGGCAATAGAAACAAAATTAACAGAATCTCCATCGGTGTACCTATGAGCATTTCTCTTTCCACGTAAGAACTAAATACACGTCGTCACTCCTACGAGCATATGGACTTGAACGAAGTTTCCCTTTTTTTTTTATCGCAAGACTCTCATGCTGACAACAGAAAATGGAAGGACAGGCAAAACTAATGAAGAATTAAGCATTGCTGGTTTGGAACCAGTATTTTGTGGATTAGGGATAGTTGTCTGAGGTACTGTGAAGTTTTGTGTCCACTCAGTTAACCAGCTAGACGTCTCCATCAGGAGACCTGACTGAACGCTGAGTGAGAGCCGGGCCGGCTCTGCAGCATACCTGTGTGTTCTGCTTAGGGATCCGTAACAAGAGCGCCAGTGCACTGAAATCGAAGGTTTCATCTAAGGCCACAAGTGCACCGTGAACGCCACTCTCCACCAGATTGTTTGCATATTCTTTAAGACCAATTGAGAGGATCCAGCGAATCACTCGATCGTTGCTCCACACAAGCACGTCTACAGGTGAACAGAAACAATTAGAACGGCGTCTGCACAAAGCTGTCTTCATCATGCACACCTGTAACAGCACACAGAAGGTGGGCAGGCAACCGCTGCTGCATTTAGAGGTCACGCCTCGGCCCTCCTCCATCGAAGGGAAACTGTCCCACTAGAACTCATGCTGCCAAAGAACCCAAGAGCAATGAAGTTCTTACGGACATTGATTTTCTAGAGAACAGAAAATGAGGAGGATCCAGGGTCAGAAACCAGAAGGACAGAGAAGAAGCTGAATGCCCACCAGGCACGAGCGCGCTTCCTCTACAGCCTTCAGAGTTTCTGAAACACTTTCTTTTCGTCAGAGAAGGAGTTGGCGCCCTGCTCGATTCAACACAAATCTCTCATTTGTAATCTTGAAGCTTGTTTCCTTGAAGCCTTTTTTGTTGTCTCATTTTAAAAAGAGAGAAACTTAAAGATGCTCTCCAGCATATCAGAGACTGGGGGGAAGATCTTACACCACACGAAGTGATCCATTATTAAATTCGCTCTAGTAGAGATCTAAAAATAGCCACTCCATGAAAATATCTCCGGATGCTCACCAATCACTTCCAAAGACAACTTTTGTCAACTATAAAAAGATTTAAAACAGATACAGAAAACAGACAAAACTGATTTACCCATTTTATTTCCAATGCCCTTTTATACTACACACACACACACTATATATATAGTATAAAATATACGCACTACATATATAGTATAAAGTGTGTATATATATATAGTATAAAAGCTGGCTTACGGTTTTTCTTGTGATTCACGTTAGCTCAATCATGACCAGACTATCCTTTAAACGGGCTGTGTCCTCAACCAGTTTTGTCTTCAGTTTCTTTCTTTGTAAAACCTGGGGAAGAAGACAGCACTCACACACACGGGGTTGTGGGAAGGATTAAATAATTAACCTCTGAAAGTGCTTCGAGTTCTTAAGTCTTACCTATTATTATGACTGTTGTTAGTGATTTCTTTATTCTGAAAATTCTGGGAGATTTTACTTTGAGCTTAATCGTTAACGTCTTACTTAAAAGCAGACTATTGTAGTCGATGCTTTCGAGGCATGCCGGGTGAGAGGCTCCCATTGCATCTCCCCACCTGCGTTCTCACTGAGCCGCCTCTGCCATCGTCCCCTGCTAAGGAGCTCCTCCTCCACCTCCAAGGCCCAGCTGAACCAGCGCCTCTGTGCTGCCCCCTGAGCCCTGGAGGCAGAGCCACAGGGCTCCGTCTGTGCTCCTGAAGCCCTCTGATAAGTGGCTAGAGCAGAATCGCCACACTGGAGTCCAGTGAGCCGACAGCAGAGTCCTGCCCGTCTGTGCCCTGCTGTTACCCAGCAGTGTGGCACGGGGTGGCATTTCTGAGTGAAGGAGTACACACGTCAGAACAAGTCACAGGAGGAGTGTTCCCCTTGAGACGGTTCGCGCAGACTGACGTAAGCACAAGAAAGTAGGCACAGGTGCTGTGGCTCAGAGGTGGACCGTGCTTCCTCCCAGAGCTGCAGGGCGTGGTGGCGCACCCTGGTGGTAAGTCACGAGCTGCCCCACAGCACGGCCGCACACAGACAGGTGCTGTGGTGCTGCGGCCAGGGAGCGAACCTGGGCCGCTGAGTGCTGGGGGCCAGACTTGAACCACCAGGCCATGAGAGGAGGGTCTTCAAAGCACTCATCTCCAACCCTCCCTCCTCTGTAAGGATGCCAGACTAGTTTTCTCCACTTAACAAATTTCCTAATATTTTTAAAAATGGGAAATCACTAACCCACAGCCAGCATCATACTCAACGGGGAAAAACTGAGCGCCATCCCCCTGAGAACAGGAACAAGACAAGGGAGCCCACTCCCACCACTCTTACTGAACATAGTACTGCAGGTTTGGGCCAGAGCAATTAGGCAAGAAAAAGAAAGAAAAGGAATCCAAATTGGCAGTGAAGAAGTGTAACTTTCACTGTTTGCAGACGACATGATTTTATATAGAGAAAACCCTAAAGAAGCCATGGCGGGGCCGGCTCGGTGGCTGAGTGGCTAAGTTCGCGCGCTCCGCTGAGGCAGCCCAGGGTTCGGATCCTGGGCACAGACATGGCACCGCTCATCAGGCCACGTTGAGACGGCGTCCCACATCCCACAACTAGAAAGACATGCAACTAAGATATGCAACTATGTACCAGGGGGGTTTGGGAAATAAAGCAGAAAAAAAAGATTGGCAACAGTTGTTAGCCTAGGTGCCAATCTTTGAGTTATTCAACATCCAGGGGTTTTGGTACCTAAAGTATATTAAAGAAAGAAACAAATAAATCCCCTTAAGGAAAAATAGAACGATAAAGAAGAATTTTACAGCTTTAAAATTATCTGATTTTTCATAGCATTAAATCTGTGACCTAAAAAAGGGAGGAGTGCTTCTGTGAAATTCAGTCCAAAGACAATCATTTTGCAGATAGGAGTTCTTAAAGCATTTAAATGGAGCACCCAGTCTGGAAAAAACCCACATTTGTGTAAAACCTCAAAGGACCCCAGTTGTACCAAATAGGCATTGTCTTATTTACACACCAAACTGCATCCATTTTTGTATCCCTTGTGCCAAAATATTCCCTTTCTGATTATTTACTATTCACCTTTTTATCTTGGATACTTACAACTTCTATTCTGAGAACATTACTTTTATGCATTTTCTAAAATACATATAATTTACAGAAGAAAACAATAATTAACTGCATGCTTACGGAATAAGATGGCATGTAGGATGTGTTAACAATAACCTTGGAAAGAGTCTTCATGTGGTGATAATGCCTCACTAGTCTTCCGACCTAATACCCAACTGTAAACCTGAATCTATTAAGGGGGAGTAAACCCTTTCTGAAATAACACTTTTAACTTTTTCCAAGCTACACAAAGAAGAAGAAACATGATTCAATGGAGTTGGGAAATGGCACCAGGGTAAAAGAATTTATATTTCTAGGACTTACTCAGTCCCAAGATCTCAGTTTGGTCTTATTTCTTTTTCTGTGTTTTGTGTACATGACAACTCTGCTGGGAAACCTCCTCATCATGGTCACTGTGACCTGTGAGCCTCGCCTTCACACCCCCATGTACTTCCTGCTCCGCAATCTAGCCATCCTTGACATCTGCTTCTCCTCCATCACCGCTCCAAAGGTCCTGGCAGACCTTCTGTCAAAGATAAAGACCATATCCTATACTAGCTGCATGACACAAACGTTCTTCTTCCACCTCCTCGGTGGAGCAGATATTTTCTCTCTCTCTGTGATGGCATTTGATCGCTACATAGCCATCTCCAAGCCCCTGCATTATGTCACCATCATGAGTAGGGGGCGATGCACTGCCCTCATTTTGGCTTCCTGGGTGGGGGGCTTTGTCCACTCCATCATGCAAATTTCCCTATTGCTGCCCCTCCCTTTCTGTGGACCCAATGTTCTTGACAGCTTCTACTGTGATGTCCCCCATGTCCTCAAACTCGCCTGTACAGACACCTCTGCACTTGAGCTCCTGATGATTTCCAACAATGGCTTAGTGAGTACCCTGTGGTTTATCTTCCTGCTTGTGTCCTACACAGTCATCCTAATGATGCTGAGGTCTCAGGCAGGGGAGGGCAGGAGGAAAGCCATCTCCACCTGCACCTCACACATCACGGTGGTGACTCTGCACTTTGTGCCCTGCATCTATGTCTATGCCCGGCCCTTCACTGCCCTCCCCACAGATAAAGCCATCTCTGTCACCTTCACTGTCATCTCCCCTCTGATGAACCCCTTGATCTACACTCTGAGGAACCAAGAAATGAAGTCAGCCATGAAGAGACTGAAGAGAAGACTCATGCCTTCTGTGGTGGAATAGAATAAGAGTTTCCAACTCTTCATCACCAAGGACTCCTTTCATCATTTTTCCCACAGAGTCCTATTTATATACTCAAATATATTATCAATAAACCAACTACACGTACTAGGTAACAATTTATTTTTCTAGTAAATTAATAGGTTGCTGGTAACCCTAGCTTCTGGTAAGCATAAAGTAACTAGTGCTACAGGATTGAGCTGATTGATGTATTTCCATTCAAAGAACAAAGTAACAATGTGTCAGGACAACTATATCGCAGGTGAAGAGATTGATTAAATCCAACTCCTTTTCCAGAGGTAAGTACACAGAAGCCTAGAGTTAGAGTGATTTGCTCAAGAACTCATATCCACTTAATCACAGAGATAAGTCTTCAGATACCCAATTGATTGCTCTTAAACCATTTGGATGTAATGTATTACATTACTGGACCTGTCTATGCCAAACTGTAATCCTGTTCTAGAAAGATTTCATGATCACTGCAAATGCAGCACCCGTATATGGGGACAAATGGCCCATCACAGATTAAGACTTTTTTTTGCTTAGTTGAACACCACATGGGCTTGTGACCTCTTGAGAACCTCAAAGGCACACAATTGTTGTCCTCCTGGATTCCTATAAGGAACGAAGAAGCTTTGAAAGACTTCCCATAATGGCCTACAGGGATTTATCTTATGCAGAACTGCACGTGCCAGATTCACATTCTTGTGATAAGTTTAGACAAAGGCAGAACCTCAGAAATCCTACACAACGAGCAAGCCATTCTCATTATTCAAGAACTGATCTTCTAGTCCAGCCTTACCAGGGCCAATCTCAGACTGGGTTCTCCATTGAGAATTTACACTCTTTTCACTTCCCACTTCCTGAGAGAGAGAGAGGAAGGGTTAAAGAAGATAAAACTCTAAACAATCCAGTCTTCAATTTGTTGGTGTTTGTGAAGAAGTAAAAGGTAGTGTTTTTGTCTGGGAAAGCATGGTAAAAGTAAACCATTATAGCTGAATGCTCTAACCTCAGAGTCATACGGCCTTGGGTCCAAATCCTATCTCTGCCATCCCTCAACTGTGTGATCTTGAGCAAATTATTTCATGTCTTCACAGGTCATATGTCACTTATAAAAAGGTACTTATAATATCCATCTCATGGAGTTGTTGTCAGGGTTAAAATGAGATGGTATATGTGAAACATACAATGCCTGGCAGATAGTAAATTCTCAGTGAAAGGCAAATATCATTATTAATACCATCCAAATTGCTCTACATTATGCACATTCTGACCTGAACCCTAACCCCAACCCCCAATGATCTGTTACACTCTCCTACTACAGGGCCACTACTCCTCATTATTGGAAAAAACTGATGGGGTAGCAAAACATAGGAATATACATTGAATTCAAAGCATTTTTCATCCAGCTTTCTTGGGCCAGCGCCATGGCCAAGTGGTTAAGTTCGTGTGCTCTGCTTCAGCAGCCCAGGGATTAACTGGTTCAGATCCTGGATGCAGACGTGGCATCACTCGTCAGGCCACGGTGAGGCGGAGTCCCACATTTCACAACCAGAGGCACTCACAACTAGAACCTACAACTGTGTACTGGGGGGCTTTGGGGAGAAGAACAAAAAAAAAAGATGGCAACAGTTTTAGCTCAGGTGTCAATCTAGGAAAAAAACAAATTTCTAGCTTTCTGTCATTAAAACATGACTATAGCTTTGCTGGTTATTTTTATAGCTTAAAAAGTCATCCTGAAGCTGTTGACATAATGCATTGGATAGTTTCATATTAAAAGAAAGTAATGGATCAAATATAAACCCTTGGCTTTTCTGGCAGGGATAAGGGATCAGAACAAGAAGTCAGATCACCCAGGACAGAGAAGAGCCCAAGTAGAGTTAGCCAAAGGATACTGAGCGTTGAGGACAAACTTTACTTATGTCCCACTTTGGATCTGGAATGGCACCATAAGCATTGATTAACTAACTGGTTCATTGCCATTTCTTGTCACCTGGTCTATAAATTCTAAATGTTTACCATATTGACCTACTTCCCCTAACATGAAAATTCTAAGAATAATTCACATTTGTCAAGTCACCGTTCATAAGGTCCTGCTACCTTTGCTCAGGTAGCACTGGTCACGAGTCTCTAAGCTTTTCTATGTGAAATTGCCTATGAAAAATGCATGCCACAAACCACCTTGCAGTCTATTTCATGCCAATTTGTCCTTTTCTGTCCTTCCTATCTCTTGTGAATCACTCAAATCAGAGTTTTATCACTATGTCAGAATTGGATGGCACCAAAGATCTATGGGGACTGAATCACTGATTGTATCTCAGAGGCATAATCCCAGGAGACCAAGGACCAAAGAACTCCTGCCACATCACTGTCCCTGAGACTTTCTCAAGCCATGTTTAAACACACAACACAATCTGATTCAATATTTCAGGAGAAGGAGAAAGAATTACATCTGATTACATAAACATTATCATTACTCTGGATGACATAAAATCTAAAGCTGGGTTGCATTTGTTCCAATTAAATCAGCTTTTATTATTTTTAAGCTCTGTTCCTAATAGCCATGGAAAGGTTGACTGGCTCTGGACACACACACATAGCTTTCAAACTACCCTTTCTTACATTGTTCCCTGAATCGAATATTTCAATGATCAACATCTCTGGGTACCCGTGAACCCAATAACATAAAATTATTCTGAAGTAATTAACCTGATGAATATCAACAGCTGTCACTGTGCTACCTTCCTAGATTCTAAGGGAGCTGTGGATCTTAGAGATGTAGATTAAGATAATTGTATAGCCTCAATGAATATATTGCATTCAACAGAAATTGGACATATAAATCTACACCATTCAGTCTCTAACAGCGGCCCTGACAGTAGCCACAAAGATTTGATTTTTCCCTCACTACCCTTTTATTTAAGCTTTATTTCCCAGCCCCCTAAGCAAAGCAATTTTGGTTAGAAGGAAGACAGCACAGTCCTTGGTGTGGTTTAACACACTTTCTTTAACACACATCTGCCACATTCATTTGGTCAACCAAGTCACTGAGGCTGGCCAGGCTGCAGGGGATGAGACCCCACCTGTCAGTGGGAGGAGCAGCAGAGAAGCTGCAGCCCACGTGAAGTTTTGTCGTACGCCATAGTTCATCAAGTCTAAGATGCCATCGTTTGTAAGACACATCCTGACTTCAAAGACACCAAAATGTCACAAAGGAGTCACGACAGAATGGATGAAACGTAGTGCGTGCATGCTGAGTTGTGGTGTAAAATGGGTGGGCTGCAGTTAATGTTCAAAACTTGGGTAAATTACATTCCAAAGTGAGGACCAAGAAGCAATTTTTCCAGACATCTAAAGACTGAGGGTTTAAAACACAGAGGGTCTCCCTAAAATAACTATTAAAATATTATTATAGAAAATGTCACACAAATGCAAAAAGAGAATACTATGATAAACCCTCATGAATCCATCACCCACCTTCAACAACTATCAACCCACACGGTCAATTTGGTTTGACCCATATCCTGACCTACCCCTCCGCCAAGATTATTGTCAAGCAAATCCCAGACACGGTCATTTCATCTGTAAATACTGGGCACACAACACGTGCCCTCCGTTGTAATCATAGTAACCCACTTGGCCCAGCAATGAATAACACCTCCAGCCTTCCTCACGGCAACAGTGAACACGGATTCAGCTCTGCTGGGAGCTGGGGAGGAGAAAGGGAGGTGCGGGAAAGCTGAAATTCTCATCCCCCAGAAGGAGATGCCAAGAGGCAAAGTCCACACTGGAGGAATCGAGAGGCCACATTAAGCACGTGTTATGTAGGAGCCCGGGCGTCACGGCTCCCTCTCTCGGCTCACCATGTTCCCACTGGGGGGTGGGTCCCTTGGGGTAGAGCCAGGTCTATCCATCCGGGTATCTCCCGGGCAGGGCAGCTCTTCTCCAGAATGTCGAAAGGTGGAATGGGGTGAACGGGGGCCCCACAAGCATGTGTCTGTGTGCAAATCGCAGGATCCTGTGAACGTGAGTTTATTTGGGAAAGGGGTCTTTGTAGGTGTAACTAAGTGAAGCGTCTTGAGGTGAGACCATCCCAGATGACCTAGGTGGGCCAGTGACAAGTGTCCTCGTAAGAGACAGAAGATAAGACACAGGGTGGGGCCACGTGAAGACAGAGGCAGAGACGGGAGACCCGGCTCACAGCCCAGGAGGCCAACAAGCACTGAAAGCGGGAAGAGGCGAAGGATGGATCCTCCACGCCAGCCCTGCTCCTCCCTGCACTGGGTGTGCCCTCGGCGTGTGCCAGGTGGAGGGGGCGCACGCAGTGCTGGCCTCAAACAACAGGACTCCAAAAGGTGCCCCACTGAGTCAAGGACACGCGGTTGCAAAACCACTGGCTACTACTCCTCACCGAGGAGTTAAGCTAAGGAAATGTCAGAAACAGAAGCCTCTGAGCTATTTGGGAATGCACTCGATGACATGTCGGTGGTTAGGACAGCAGCCACAGCACCCGGACGCCACCTCGCTATCCACCTGCCGGAGATACAGGGGAGACGCGCTCCTCCCCAGACCCTGGGGAGCCCATCCCCATGAGCACAGGACTTAGCCAGCAAAAGAGCAAAGAAAACCCCAAACCCACAATTACCTTAAAGTGCATGATGTGAGACTTGAAAAGAGAAACTTAAGGGCAGCAATTATGAGGCTAAAGGAGGCTCGACAGAGTTCTAGCGGTGGGAAGGGTCCAGAGAGTCTTCAGTGTGGCCACACCTGGCTTGCGAATGGCTCCCATCCCCGCCGACTGCGGCGAGCCCTGGGACACTGCGTGTGGGGCGAGCAGACCCGGGAGGCGTGGCTGAGAGTGCGCCTAGCACAGCAGAGTGCGCCTAGCACAGCAGAGCTACTGCAACACCGGCCTGTGCTCTCTGCGTCGTTCTGAGCTGACCTTTTGTTAAAGGCGTAAACGGAACCACCGAATGAAGTTTTAATCAAACACCTGCAACTTAAAGAGTCAATGATGACCTGGTCTGCTTCCAGAAGCTTCAGGCTACCCAAGGCTTGCCCGGCTTTGGTCAGGCAAACGGACTGGTGGGTGAAAAAGCAGGGAAGCGCTATGTGCTTTTGAGTCTCACGCTTAAGTGAACCCAAGAACGAGGAAATGCCAAGAAAAGGCTGCCCCCAACAAAACTGGAAAACCAGCCAGCACAGGCTCTCAAGAGAACACCAAACCACCGGATCGCTGTGCCCTGACGGACACCAGCTGGAATGTATTCACCCGAATAAAGAAAACACGTCACTCAGGAGAGGCGGCCGTCAGCCCTGGAAGGACAGCAGAACAGGAAAAGGAAAACCGAGGCGACAGTCAGCAGCGCCCACCCAACACAGCGCGAGGCATGGGGTCGGCCTGGGCATCGGCACCCCCAGACCTGATGACAATACTGCGGTGGGGGGAGGGCGGGCGACAGCACGTAGGGGCTGAGGCATCGGGTGCCCTGGGCCTGGCGCTGCCAGCCACGAGCGCCGCGCCTTGCCGCCCTGCAGCCGGGCGCGTCCTGCCTGCCTGCCTGCCCGGGCCCGTCGGCGCGTCCCTCCCCTCTCGCGCCGGACTGCTTCATGACTCAGGACTCCGTCTGAGCGCTCCGAGACCAGGCTCCCTGGGAACCGGAAGGACACAGCCCAGGGCGGGAGCAGCAGGAGAGCAGGGCCCCAGTGCGCGCATGGACTGACGCGCCTCCGCGCCTCCCTGTGGCCTGGGTGCCTCTGAGCGCCAGGCTGCCCGGGCCTGGTCCCCCAGGTCTCAGCGAGAGAGGGTCTGGGCCTCGGGGGCCGAGGCGGGAAGCCCCTGGGCTTCCTGGCGGGGACGCCCCCATCCTGTGCTTCCACCCCAGCTTTTTCATTCTGTCAACTGATTTCTACCCAAGAAAGTCCACTCGACCACACTGCCGCCACTGAATCAGCCTGGAGCCGGAGATGAGCCAGCTGCGGCCGATTTGTCACAGAATGACAGCTTATTCTCAGTATCCTTTATTGGCAGTGGAAAACGCCTCAGTACTTTATTGAAAGAAAGCAATAAATAATACTGTGATAAAAATAGTTCAAAAGGAGACTGTACATACTTTGTTACATAATCAGGAGGTTCACAAAAGATTAACAGAAAACAGAATGTAACAACGAATGAATCGTACAAGGAAGTTAAAAGCAGAAACCGAATGTAAACCGTCCACTGACAAAATGAGCTGTATAATAAATAATGCACCGTGGTGGGAACACATTTCCTGCTGGCTCTTTAATGTGCCATTTAAAAAGGAAAAGTTACATCTGCTACTTAGACAGTCCAAAACGGCTATATCGTCAAAAGCTAAAAATGTACCAATAGGTCCCTCCTTTCAACATGTTTACAAACAAATGTAAAAAGATGATTTACATAAGAAAAAATAAGGCCTTTAGTAGAGTCGCACTGCGTGGTTTCCTGGTTTCAGGGAGCCCGCGCCTTCCTCTTCCGGCACGGGCGTCCCTGTGGAGCGCGGTGCTTCCTGCTTGGTCCTCAAAGAGCAGCGGGGCGGGGGCCCGAGTCCGCCCGTCGGGCAGAGCCCAGAGAGCCCCCCAGCCCTTCCTGCGGCCGAGAGAAGTGCTCCCGGCTGGGGCTCGTGCCGGGCGCTGAGGACAAGCCGTGCGGGTCTCCAGGGACGAGCTCTGCAAGCTACTGAGAGCCACCAGAGATGCTCACAGTTCTGACGGCCCCTTCAGCCCAAATTTTATCAGAAGCTCATATTTAACACCAGGTACTTTCAGTCTGTTCACGCTGCAGAATAAAGCATTTCTTGCTAGAAAAAGTAGAGTAAGGTCAGTCATTAAAACGCAATTGCTTGAAATTAAGTCTGCTTGTTTCAAAATGATTGTTGTAGAGCTGGTTACATTTGTCAGGATAACGCGCACCATGTCATGATGATCTTACAAATGCAAATGCAGTAAAATCCTCTTCTCTCTCGCCGATTATTATTAAAAAATTAATGATAATTACAATAAATGCATAATTTACAAAAGCCCTGTATCTTTTCATAGGATTTATACATACAAGCATTACAGTACATTCGTTTGAAAGACTAAAATTAGATAGAAGAACAGAATCGATTTGAAAGGATATTTATAGCCTGGATATACATGAAAAAGTAACTAACTATATAAATGAAGTCATGTTTACATAAATATAAGAAACATTAAATTCTAAAATATTTTCTCTATGGTATTCGTGAATTTTTCACTAATTAAAAACTCTGTAATAAAATATCTTAGGGTCCATATAACAAGTATCAACAGATTGCAGATCCACTGAATTCTGAAAGGCCGTCTTCGCCGGGTCCCGAGCGCTGCACGGTCATCTGTAGAAGTAGTGTGGGTAAACTGGAAAGGAAGCACAAACAGGACAATCAGCCTCAGGACGGGCCGCCCGGCGCGCACCTGCGTCCTGAGGCCCAGCCCTGCCTCCCTGCCCCTTGCGCTGTAGCTGCTTGAGAACTGAGATGAAACGTCAAGGAGTACGCGTATCAATGAGAAAATTCCTTGCTGACTTCCTTTTGGCGTATGTCTAAAAGTTACCAATTAAAAAGATTAGGAAACCAATCAAACCTTCTGGCGGAGACGTGAAAAGTGGAGAGCGGAACAAGCCCCCGGCCCTGGCGCCACGAGCAGGGGCTGGGCTCCCAGCCCCACGTCACCCCTTCAGCGCGAGCGGGCTGCTCGTAACTGCACCCCTGCGATGGCAACGCAGCTGTGTGTTTAAAACCACCCGCCAGGCCCTCAGGGTCGCACGACAGCGTGGCCCCAGGAAACCTGGCCGTGCGGGGTGCGGCTCATTCAAGACCGTGTATTTCTAAGAAAGCCAGTGGGCGCCGCTGACCTGGGAGCGACACCAGCGCGGATGCCAGGGTCAAGGCGGAGAGCCGCCGTGCCGGGCGCTCTCAACCACGGGTGGTCGCCAGCCAAGAGCTGAGCCGGTGAGCTCCTGCCACGCGCTGCTCTCCTGCCTCCCCACCCCCAAAAGACATTAGCAGATACTGAAAAGAGTCCAGCACTTTCAGTTTTAAGGAAAAAATGCAAATACACTTTTTTCCTTAACAAATGAGGATACACGAACCCCTCTGTGACCAACTGTGAGCATACAGAACACCAGAACCACGTAACGGGTGCAGCCGGGCTTGCGTGCGTGTTCCTAAAGGCCTGCAGGAACGGAAATGGGCTCTCCGGGCCAGGCAGCGCCCCCGTGCGGTCACCCGGCCGCCTCTGCGGCCTCCGGGCACGCGGAGCCCTCTACTCACCACGGGGCTTCAGCAGGAGTAAGTCCTGACCGTGGCGGCGTCCAGCCTCTGCGCTCCCGACACGCTGCCTGCTCCGACACCGGGGAGGAAGCGTGCAAACACAGCGTGCGGTTAGTCTTCAGACGTCACACGGGGCACACGTACACACACATCTGCACACCTACAACACCACCTACTGAGGGCTCCCAGGGAAACTGCTAGATGGGAGCGGACGAGCCAGGGAAAGAGAACCTAAGCGTCGCCAGGAGGGGGTTCTCTTCAGCCCCAGCAGCCCTGGGAGCCACTGGCAGCTAATCTCACGACAGCAAGGACGCCTCAGATGATACACACTTCGTGATGTCCTCTGTGTAAGTGACAACTACTTCACCTGGTAACTTTGTTTCTCCTGAAACTCTCTAGATTTGCAGAGCAACTAGACTTTTCTTCGGGGCCTAAACGTGATATCCCCAAGGCCGGTGTGAGGTAGATAACCCGGGGCAGCGCTAGACACCACGGGGTGCAGGTGACCGGAGTCAAACGCAGGCCTGGCCTGACGGGAGACGCGCCCTCGGGCCACCTGCCCTCCGCGCCTGTCTGAGGGAGCATCCAGGGCACTCCTCCCCAGGGCCTGGCTGCAGGGGGTGGTAGAGGACAATGACTCATCTAAGAACACTAAAACCCAGTCTCAGTTTCTGCCGGAAGTGATGTGTACCACTGAGGCCTTGTTCCTGTCGAGAAACACACGGCACGGCCCAAGAGGTGAGCCCCGCCTCTCCCTTGCAACCTGGACAGAAAATGTGCAAACACCTGGAGCAGATATTCCCGACTGCCAGTTACACAGTTTGTGTTCCCACGGGTCCAGCAGGAACACGTTTTATCAAGAATGTGCCGTGGTTCCAGAAGAGATGGCACGACAGCCGGCACTGTCGGTGAGCATGGGTCATCTTTCCAAACCCTGACCCTGAGGTCCCAGGAGGCCAGCTGCAGCTTCCCCGATGCCCCTTATTTAAGAAGGCATTGAGCAGTCCACTCTCCCGGGGTTGGGCCTCAGTTTTCCTACAAGGGTCAACAGCCGTCTTCCATGTAATATATTCCCTACACCTCTCTCTAGGCTTATTTTTAATTTATCTGAACTCTAATCTCAATGTCGCCGTCAATACTGAACACGGGAAGTGTGACTGAGTCTGAGGAAACTGGGCACGAAGCTGTGAAGAAAATCAGAAGGCGCTCCGTCAGCCTATTCAATAAGTGGAGGGCCGAGTTACCGTTAGAGTTATACAAATTACCTCATGCTCCTTAGAATAAGAATGCTACTAAAGACACTGCTACTCTTGCCCCATTAACCAGATCACTGAGCTCTGCAGAGAGATGCAGGCTTCCAGCAGCAGTGCTGCCCTGGGGGCCATCTCACCAAGCGTCCGGCTGAGCGAAGGCTTTACACACACGCGCTTTTCTCTCATTTTGATATAAGCAAGTGAGAGCCAAACTCACAAACCTACATACGGGAAGGGCTAAGAACAGGGAAACTTGTAAAAGCCAACTCAGGACAATTTTTAAAAGCGCTTCCTTTCCCATAGCCGATCCATGGGCCACAGAGAGGAGAACGAAGTCCTTCGTAACGGGAGTGTGGCTACAATGGCCCCAGCGGCCAGCACCACACGGGACCAGGACCCGCAGACGCCTCCTACGAGCCTGACGAGGAGCAGCCGTTTCACTGCCACAGCCGCTGAAGAGGACACGGCTGTACGACGACGGCCCTACAGACGGGGAGACTGAGGCACAGTGCTCGAGGCTGTGCCCCTCCAGTGGCAGAGCCAGGTCCACCGAGGCCATCTGCCCTTGATCCTGTCATCGTGGGGCCGCGGTCAGAGCTGAGAGGTCTGTCAGTAAAGCGCGACCAACTTGTCATCAGCCGTGTCCTCCAAGCGGAGCGGCGGTCAAAGGGAAAACCGCAAGCTCCATCTGGAACCCTGACTGCAAGGCTCGTGCGCTCCCACGCCCACCGCGCTCCAGTGACGACCTGCCCAGGCTCACCTTCTTCCTCCTCTCCGTCCTTATGGTGCGCAGTGACAGGGACCAACGCCAGCAGGGGTGGAGGAGAGGAAAGGGAAGGCTCACAGAGGGGGAAACTGTGTTCTCTAAGATGGACTCAGTCACCTCTCCAGGTGGAGAGATGTCCCGGGAGCACCCGGCGTGGCCCGAGAGCTGCTGCACCACCTTCCGGCAGAGCCTTCCAGGGCTGCCTGCCACACACACAGGCTACAGGACGTCCACTCAGCACGCCGAGAACACACGCGACGCTCAGCTTTATTAGTTGGAAGGATATGCTAAGATTCAACCAGACAAGACTCTAAAAAACCTACATTATTGTTAAACTGTTATGCACAGATGTTAGGATTCATTTTAAAACACTTAACCTGGGCATGCACCAGTACTCAATGCCTTGTAACACAATCAAGAGGCCATTCTGGATCACGGTTAACATTCCAGCCACAAAGCTGCTCATGCCGCCCACAGCGGCTGGCCGCCCCTGCACACCTACCGTCCAGCTGCGTCTTCTTCGGCTGCATGGAGGGTGAGGACAGAGAGGACGTGACCCGGAAGTTGGCGGGGAGAGTCTCTGCGGACCCAGCAGCTAAGCCACGAACATCCTTTGGTCTAAATTTTTTTCTCCAAGAAGGTGCTCTCCTAAAGCTTTTATCATGGTCCTGGGAAATTAAAGGACAGAAAACAAGACTGATTTTAAAATAAAGGACAAAAATAGACAGTCAAGTTACCAGCCTTGACCTGACTGCTGAACTCGTCACTGCATGTTTGTTCACACCTATTTAACCCGTTCCTGATAACCACAGGATCTACTGTCCCCACCGGGAACTTCTGAGAGTGACGGGCCCAGTAACACTATGTGGGGCCCTCACTGGGCATCGATGAGGACGGCCCTGGGCCGGCCAGGTGCATGTGCCTCCTGTTCATCACCCGTTTCCTTTCTTATCTTGGAGAAATCATCTTCTTGCCGTATAAGATAATACATTTCTATTTGTCTTAAAATAGTTTCCAAGCTGTAAGCAGTTCTGCCTTAGAGCCGGGGAAGAGCCAGCAAGCGCTCCTTTAGCTGTCCTCCTAGTCACCAGGCAAACTCACGTTTTCTTAAGGGGCAACGAAGGAAAGAATAAAAACAGTGTGGGAACAAACGAGTCACGACTGTGTGAGGGGAAATTAACATGTTGCGTTTCTCTAATCTCCTTCTAACAGGTTTCTCCAAAGCACAGGGACTCTGGATTGGGGTCAGACATCCAGCGGTCCCCAAACATAGCCCATGGACGCCATGCCTCGGCTGCCACCAATGTTGATGGGAACAACATTTTTGAGGGCTATCAAAACTTAAATAGCAAATATTTTAAAAACAGAAAACCTCAGACTGAAAATACGAGTTTCTTACTATCTCACTTAACACATTTTTGAGAGCAAAGCTTAGCTCAGGAGGTAAAATCATCTCCACACTTAGAAGAGAGACTGCCGACGGGGCTCACGTGCATATGAACAAATAATTCACACTGAATGCAAATTTAAATAAAATTCATTAGGCTGAAAACTCACTTCATCAAAACTTCTGTCCGTCCCCATGACCAAAAGGTTGTTAAATTCTCGTTCCAAGACAGCGCGAGCCTGAAATCATAACAAAACAACAATACCGCAAAGCTTCATCAATCTAATCTGAAGGACGTTAGCATATCACAACTGTTTTTCAAATCAAGACTTTTAAAAAGCTCAGGCTATAAACACCTTGAGCCATGACAGCATTTAATTTAATTGAATTAATTAATTTATTTGAGGAAGATTAGCACTGAGCTAACACCAGCTGCCAATCCTCCTCTTTTTTGCTGAGGAAGACTGGCCCTGAGCTAGAATCCATGCCCATCTTCCTCTATTTTATATGTGGGACGCTGCCACAGCATGGCTTGCCAAGTGCTTCCACGTCTGCACCCGGGCTCCGAACCGGCGAACCCCGGGCTGCCGAGAAGCAGAACGTGCGCACTTAACCACTGCAACACCGGGCTGGCCCCCACAACCACATTTTAAATTAGGGGATTCCTGCGGAGCCCATGGATGGGCTTTCAGGGAAAGGGACCCATGACCGCTGGCAGACTATCTACGAAAGTGTGCTCTGTGGGTTGGTGCTGGTGGGGGGATGGGGGTATCGGCAAAAGACATACAATCTTCTGTAGAAGAAGAATAAATTTCCTGATTCTCAGGTGAGCCCGTGTGTCAAAAAGAATCACACAGGGCAATAGAAACAAAATTAACAGAATCTCCATCGGTGTACCTATGAGCATTTCTCTTTCCACGTAAGAACTAAATACACGTCGTCACTCCTACGAGCATATGGACTTGAACGAAGTTTCCCCTTTTTTTTTAATCGCAAGACTCTCATGCTGACAACAGAAAATGGAAGGACAGGCAAAACTAATGAAGAATTAAGCATTGCTGGTTTGGAACCAGTATTTTGTGGATTAGGGATAGTTGTCTGAGGTACTGTGAAGTTTTGTGTCCACTCAGTTAACCAACAGGCTGTGCTATGCCAGAGGCCCCCAGGTATCTGCCTGCATGCTCTGATAACTCTTGGTAGCTTTTTTAGTTTTCCATATTAAGTAGACTTTCGACAAAATTGTATACAGAAGAAAGACAACTTGAATGGAAAGTGAGCTAGGTGAAAAGAAATATCTTCATTTGAACTGGAAAACACCCCAAAAAAGTGAGAGAAGTGACTTTCACCTTTCTTTTCTTTCTGATCATGGTAAGAAAAAGGAGATAAACTGCAAAGAAAGAAATTAAGTCCATTTCAAGGATTCGCAAAATAAAAAAAGGAAGGAATTCAAGAGCAAAATGATTATATTGTAAGCACATGCCTAACATTTTAAGAAAGTGACAAATTGTTTTCAAAAGTGGTTGCATCATAACATGGATGGACCTTGAGAGAATTATGTTAAGTGAAATAAGCCAGCGAGAGAAAGATAATCTGTGTATGACTCCACTCATATGAGGAATTTAAAACTATGGACCAAGAACAGTTTAGTGGATACCAGGGGAAAGGTGGGGTGGGGGATGGGCACAAAGGGTGAAGTGGTGCACCTACAACATGACTGACAAACATTAATGTACAATTGAAATTTCACAAGATTGTAACCTATCAATGACTCAATAAAAAATAATAATAATAATAAAAAGTGGTTGCATCATTGCACATTCCCACCAGAGTTACAGTTCCTCTACATTTTTGTCAACTCTGATATGTCAATCTTCTTTTTTTATTGCAGTAACACTGGATCATAACATTATATAGCTTTCAGACGTACATCGTAACATATTTCGAAGACTGTGTAGATTACATCATGTTCACCACCCAAAAACTAATCATAATCCATCACCACACATGTGAGCCTAAATCATCCCTTTTACCCTCCCCTCTCCCCTCTTCCTCTGTGGTAACCACCAATCCAATCTCTGTTGCTATGTGTTTGTTTGTCGTTGTTTTTATCTTCTACTTATGAGTGAGATCATACAGTATCTGACTTTCTCCCTCTGACTTATTCCACTCAGCATAATAACCTCAAGCTTCATCCATGTTGTCACAAATGGCTGGATTGCATCATTTCTTATGGCTGAGTAGTATTCCATTATGAATATATACCACATCTTCTTTATCCATTCTTCCCTTGATGGGCACCTAGGTTGCTTGCAAGTCTTGGCTATTGTGAATAATGCTGCAATGAACACAGGGGTGCATGTATCTTTATGCATTTGTGTTTTCAAGATCTTTGGATAAATACCCAGCAGTGGGATAGCTGGATCATACGGTAGATCTATTCTTAATTTTCTGAGGATGCTCCATGTTGCTTTCCATAGTGGCTGCACCAGTTTGCACTCCCACCAGCAGTGTACGAGGGTTCCCTTCTCTCCACATCCTCTCCAACACTTGTTTCCTGTCTTGTTAATTATAGCCATTCTGATGGGAGAGAGGTGATATCTCATTGTAATTTTAATTTGCATTTCCCTGATAGCTAATGATGTTGAACATCCTTTCACGCACCTGTTGGCCATCTGTATGTCTTCTTTGGAGAAATCTCTGTTCAGATCTTTTGCCCATTTTTAAATTGGGTTGTTGATTTTATGTTGTTGAGATGTATGAGTTCTTTGTATATTTTGGATATTAACCCCTTCTCTCTTATTTTAGCCATTTTAATAAATGTGCACTGTTATCTCACTATAGCTTTCATTTACATTTCCCCACTGATAAATGACATTGAGCATCTTTTCATATGCTTAATTGCTAAACCTATATCTTCTCGTTGAAGTATCTGTTCAAACCATTTGTCCCTTTTTTTTTAATTGGGTGGTTGGTTTTCTTATTGAATTTTAAGAGTTACAGCCATTCCATTCCTAGGTACTTACCTAAGAGAAATGGAAACATATATCTACATGAAGACCTCTACAAGAATATTCATAGCAGCTTTATGTGTAATAGCCAAAAACTAGAAACAACCCAAATGTTCATCAACAAGTGAATTGATAAACAAAATGTGGCACATCCGTACAATAAAAGGGAACAAAATATTGGTACACACAAAACGTGGATGTATTTTGTAAGTGAAACAAGCCAGACAAAAAGAGAACGTACACCTTTTAGGATTCCATTTATAGAAAATTTTAGAGAATGCAAACTAATGGATAGTGACAGAATGCAGATCAGTGCTTGCCTGAAGAAAGGGGGCAGAGGGGACATATTAGAGTCACAAGGACACTTTTGGAGTGATACATATATTAATTAACTTATATCTTATTATATCTTAATATATATTAAGACATATTAATTAACTATCTTAAACATATTGATGATTGCATGGGTATATGCGTACGTCAGAACTTATCAAAGTGTACACGTCAAACACATGAGTCTATCGTATGTCAATGAAAGCGCAATAAAAAAAAATAGCTTTTAGGAAAGAAATTTGACCAGTGAACAGAAGAGAAGCTCTGAGTTACCACTTTTCTTTCATAGCTGAGGAGTTATTCAACATCCAGGGGTTTTGGTACCTAAAGTATATTAAAGAAAGAAACAAATAAATCCCCTTAAGGAAAAATAGAATGATAAAGAAGAATTTTACAGCTTTAAAATTATCTGATTTTTCATAGCATTAAATCTGTGACCTAAAAAAGGGAGGAGTGCTTCTGTGAAATTCAGTCCAAAGACAATCATTTTGCAGATAGGAGTTCTTAAAGCATTTAAATGGAGCACCCAGTCTGGAAAAAAACCCACATTTGTGTAAAACCTCAAAGGACCCCAGTTGTACCAAATAGGCATTGTCTTATTTACACACCAAACTGCATCCATTTTTGTATCCCTTGTGCCAAAATATTCCCTTTCTGATTATTTACTATTCACCTTTTTATCTTGGATACTTACAACTTCTATTCTGAGAACATTACTTTTATGCATTTTCTAAAATACATATAATTTACAGAAGAAAACAATAATTAACTGCATGCTTACGGAATAAGATGGCATGTAGGATGTGTTAACAATAACCTTGGAAAGAGTCTTCATGTGGTGATAATGCCTCACTAGTCTTCCGACCTAATACCCAACTGTAAACCTGAATCTATTAAGGGGGAGTAAACCCTTTCTGAAATAACACTTTTAATTTTTTCCAAGCTACACAAAGAAGAAGAAACATGATTCAATGGAGTTGGGAAATGGCACCAGGGTAAAAGAATTTATATTTCTAGGACTTACTCAGTCCCAAGATCTCAGTTTGGTCTTATTTCTTTTTCTGTGTTTTGTGTACATGACAACTCTGCTGGGAAACCTCCTCATCATGGTCACTGTGACCTGTGAGCCTCGCCTTCACACCCCCATGTACTTCCTGCTCTGCAATCTAGCCATCGTTGACATCTGCTTCTCCTCCATCTCCGCTCCAAAGGTCCTGGCAGACCTTCTGTCAAAGATAAAGACCATATCCTATACTAGCTGCATGACACAAACGTTCTTCTTCCATCTCCTCGGTGGAGCAGATATTTTCTCTCTCTCTGTGATGGCATTTGATCGCTACATAGCCATCTCCAAGCCCCTGCATTATGTCACCATGATGAGTAGGGGGCGATGCACTGCCCTCATTTTGGCTTCCTGGGTGGGGGGCTTTGTCCACTCCATCATGCAAATTTCCCTATTGCTGCCCCTCCCTTTCTGTGGACCCAATGTTCTTGACAGCTTCTACTGTGATGTCCCCCATGTCCTCAAACTCGCCTGTACAGACACCTCTGCACTTGAGCTCCTGATGATTTCCAACAATGGCTTAGTGAGTACCCTGTGGTTTATCTTCCTGCTTGTGTCCTACACAGTCATCCTAATGATGCTGAGGTCTCAGGCAGGGGAGGGCAGGAGGAAAGCCATCTCCACCTGCACCTCACACATCACGGTGGTGACTCTGCACTTTGTGCCCTGCATCTATGTCTATGCCCGGCCCTTCACTGCCCTCCCCACAGATAAAGCCATCTCTGTCACCTTCACTGTCATCTCCCCTCTGATGAACCCCTTGATCTACACTCTGAGGAACCAAGAAATGAAGTCAGCCATGAAGAGACTGAAGAGAAGACTCATGCCTTCTGTGGTGGAATAGAATAAGAGTTTCCAACCTCTTCATCACCAAGGACTCCTTTCATCATTTTTCCCACAGAGTCCTATTTATATACTCAAATATATTAT